AAAAATTAAGATTGAGAGTTGTGCAGCCGTAATTGTTGACTTTTAGTAAATAGTGTTAACTTTTTAACTTTTTAACTTTTTGAGTAACTTTTTGACTTTTTAACTTTTTTGTAATATGGCAAACTTGACCTAAATGAGAAATTTCAACAATAAAAAAAGGTGATTAAAATAGAAATTAAGCACATATTTAACACACGTTTGGATTTTACTGTGTAAAGAGTAAAATCTGTATTTTATTATCCATCTAATTTTTTTTTCCCCCAACTCACATAGGAGGTATAAATACAATAATAACAAAAAGAAAGTCTTGTACCATCGTTATTTATGAATATAATTTCTTAGAGTATCTTCAATAGTGTTTGTTAAAATAACATTTTTATTGTTATAATTTGACAATGAATAGTATTATTTTGTCAAATTATAGTAATGGCGCTCCAATGGTCACATGCTATTTTGACAAATCTTAACTAACTTTTCATTTAAGTTTGTAGGTGTTATATGGATATATGTTTTTTAGTGATTTTTTTTGGTTTATTTTTTTGTCTTTTGTGACCTTTTTTCAACTGTTTGTAAAAAAAATTATATATTTACATTATACCCGACTAGACAAATATAAAAAATGAAAAAAAAAATTAAAAATTTTCCAAAAAAAAAATATATAATTCACCCGTAAATTTAAATATAAAATACTCAAAATTACATTGAAAAAAATGACATTGCAAAATTAAAAAATACATTCTCCTGTAATTATTTATTAGAATGGTAGGGAAAAATAATAATTTGGGTTGCTGACATGTGCCGACCACTTGGCGAAAATCTCATTTTTGCGCATTATGTAATATGTTTTCGTTTGAGGGTCCAAATGAGAAATGTCTATAGTTATCATCAAACAGTCTTCCTTTTTTTATCTCATGTTCTCTTATCTCCTGCAAATATTCTTCCTTTTTGATCTCTGATTCTTTCATCTCCTACAATGCTTGAATCATTTTTTCTTCTCTTTTAGCTTTTTTTATTTCCTTCTTAACAAAGTGTTGGTTAAATGTTTCCAACAAATTGTTATATCTGTGGACTTCAGCTTGAACAGCTTCACTTTTCCGAAGCAATTCTTTTGCAGATTTCCTACTTCTTGCAGAGACACTACCCTCACCGATTGGATTATTACCAACAGTTGGATTGTTACCAAAACTTGAATTGTTGTCGCCTTCAAGAGAAATGCAATTATCCATAGGGGATTCGGGGGCTGAATTAGAGGGAAACAGTGTATGTATCATTGACTTCATGTGTTTCTAGGAGTTATATCTTACCACCTGATATTGTTTTGCAATATAAATTACAACATTGTTTGACAAGAAGGAATTCATCCTATTGCTCCCAACTAAATATGAATGAATTGGTTTAGTAATGTTATACAATAATAACTTTTTTAACACAAAATTTTCAGTGGAATTTTTTTTTTTTTTATATTCATGCAATTTTTTATAATTTTTTATTATCTCTTAGGAAGTTTTAGTCAAAAAGCCTTCCAAATCTGAAATGCAAAAAATAAATAAATAAATAAATAAATCCAGTAAACACAAAGAAAATTGCTAAAATTCTCTTTTTATTTTTAGTTCCATTTAGACTAAAGCAACTATAAATTAAAAAGCAATTTGTGAAAATTAAAAGATTTTTAAATTATAAAGATGGTTCCCAGTTTGTTCTCATGGATCTGGTATTGTTCACTATCTTTTTCATGTAGTATGTTAAAAGTGCCACTGCTAGCCTAGTTTGCTACAGCCTTGTTCATTTGTCTTACCCATGAAAGTAACTCAGCAAAGGCTTCATATGGGCTGATGGTGTCCTCTGTTTTTACAAGTAAAATTTTCATTTTCATATAATTAATTCTCCTTGCTGATGAAGAAATCTGGTTAATTTGACGTCAATTTTTTGCTTCTCGTACTACTTTATAGCTTTCTACTGTAGCTAAGAGAGACATTGTTTTTGTTTTTAAATTATTTTTGTATGGCATTTTTTTGGATTTTTGGAGGTAGCATTTTTTTCTCTCAATCCCCAAATCTTTCTAGAATACTAGGTATATGGTTGTCTAATATGTTTTGGAGTTTGTTTGTTTGTGGGTATGAATTTTGTGTTGTCACATATGCTTTGTTACTTATTTTTTTTAAAGTAATAGTGGTCCCATTTGTAATTTTTATGTTCTTTCTTTCTTTTTCTTTTCTTTTTCTTTATCATTTATACATTTTGTTTGTTTTTGGAATGGAGGGACATCAATGGTTGACAAATTGTTCCATTGGTGGGTAATGGGGACTTTAACACTTTTGCTAGACAATAAATGGTTGAGTTTTTTTGTATTATCTCATGCTTTGTTGTCTATATTTTTAAAAGTAAGATAATCTATGGTGGCCCCATTTGCGGTTTTTTTTTTTTTTTTTTTGAGTCTTATTTCTATTATTTTTTTGAAGTAAGATAGTCAATGATGGTCACATATATATTACCGGTTTGCTTTGGAGATTGTGTATATGTGACCATATGCTTTGTTACATTTATTTTTGAAAGCAATATAGTTCATGTGGTCCCATTTTTGATTTTTTTGTTTTGTTTGTTTGTTTGTTTGTTGTTTTTTTTTTTTTTTTAATTAAAGCAAGATAGCCCGTGATGGCCCCATTTCTATTATTGTTTTTGTTTATAGAATGGAGGGATATGTAGGCTTGATTAATTGTCCTATTAGTGAATAACTGGGACTTGGGTGAGTAATCTTAAAAGAATATACATACATACACAATATTTATAGAATACAATGAAAGAACACTATAAAAAATTAATGATATTAATAATATGTTTTAATTGTAGTATTTTAATATAGGATTAAATTTTCATAGTATGTTTTGGAATTTAAATTTGGTCTAATGTATTTGTTGTTATTGTGTTTAGCTAACCATGACAACTCAGACAGCATTGAACTCAGTTTATGAGTTAATACAATTGCTTCAACCATTACAAAAAGAAGCTATCAAATCAATTGGCTTTGGAGGTTTATTAGAGCTTAAATGCACGAGATTGCCACGACAACTCTGTGAATGGTTGGTTGGTTGTTTTGATCATACATCTCGGTGTTTATTCGTTCATGGTAAAAGAATAATCATAACACCATTTGATGTAAGCCACATATTAGGACTTCCTTGTGAGGGATCAATTATAAACGTAAATGGGGACCACACTGATATTGAAGAGTTGTCGAACATGTATGGTGTTAAGAAGTGTGGTTCTATTTCATTGAGTTCTTTAAGGAATGAGTTGTCTAATATGCAAGTAGACGAGGATGATTTTAAGGGAAGATTTGTATTGTACATTCTAGGTTCTCTTTTGTGCCCTACATCGGAGTTGTCAATAAATCGTTGTTTTCTCCATTCCTTGAAAGATATGTTTGCTTTACATAAGTTAAATTGGTCAAAACTTGTCTTAGACTTTTTAGTCGATGGTGTGCAAAAGTACAAGGGCAAAGGAGAAGGAAAGGACAACGAGGAATTCGAGGTTGCTTGTTTTTTCTCATGGTATGTTTCTAAATCATGGTAAACAAATGATTGTCTATTTAATGCATTCTTGAACTTACTAATCATTACATAACCATATCATGTAGTTATTCTACGTTGAGCATGTGACACCTACTGTGGATTTTGTTAGTCCATGTGCAAGTAGACAAGCACCTCGTTTAGTATATTGGACAGATGAGGTGATTAAAAAGAGAATCTCCATGTTGGAAAAACTTCAATAAAACAACAAGAGGGTAATCTTATGTGTTATATAATTTAATTTGTATGCGTGTTATAATTAAAGAATTCGTTTAACATGTTTGTTATTATTTTCTTAATAGGTTGGTTTTATTGTTGAAGATAATGACGTGAGTGTAGAGCCAAACATGGATGCACGACTAAGTAATGTTGAAAAAGAAGTGAAAGATTTGAGAGGAGACTTGAATAACTTAGTCGTTGGTGTCAGTCAATCAATAGAATCTGCCAAAGAAGAGATTTTGATAGTAATTGCAAAGGTAGCTAATGAGTCATGGGCTATTGAAAAGGAGAAACACTCTCATGATATCGATTGTCAATTGAAAAATAAAGATATCTTGGATGACAAATGGAGTCCCCCACCTTTTGCTTTCCAAGATCATAAGTTTCCTATGGATAAACAACTCAAACAAGAAAATGAGGGATTGCCTAAGACTCCATTATGTGATCAGTTCACATCGTCCGTATCTCCATTTGCCCCCCTTTTTAGTGAACATGAGCTACTACCACCAAAGTTACCAAAAGTGATTTTAAAAAGGTCAATTCCGGTAGATGATGGTGCCGAGTCTTCAACAGTTTTGCCTTATCATATGAAGCTTAGGAGGGAAAGCAAACGAAAAAAAAGCAAACATATACTTTCACCCTATGATGTTGAACTTGGCAAGGTAAGATACATTATTATTATTATTATTATTATTATTTGTTTTGTTTTGTTTTGTCGTTAGAATTGAAAGTAGGTATTGATTTATTTGTGTTATGCAGAAATATAATATAACAAGCAAACAACTTGACATGTTGCCTAAATATGGACAAAAGGTAATAAATAATATTTGTACACATAACAAATTTTTTAAGAATAATTCATTACAAATGAACTTAGTCACCGACTGATTTATGTTAAACAGGAAGCTACAATGAAAAATAAACAAGTTGTTGTGTTTCCTAAACAACATTCGATAAAGGTATACTTATGTTTTCTTATAGAAACTCATTTTTAGGAGAATATTCAATTACATACTTTATGAAAATGTTATTAATTATTAGTTAAAAATAGATTTCTGAGTTGTTGAGTATGCCAACTCCCATGAAAGGATTTGATTTGTCACCGCTTTCAGTTGAGGATAAATTGATAAAAGACTATTTGTTTCATCGTAGTAAATTGGAAAGGTTCTATTTCTTTCAAGAAATGTTTTCTTTTATGTTTCATGTGTTTATGTTGTCACATTGACATGTATCACTTAATTAATATGATAGTGAAATTCTTATTAACTTTGATATTCAACATGGAACGCGCAAAAACATATGGACATTAGATCGTGGTTGTTGGCTTGATGGACAAGTAAGTAGTAAACCGTTGAACAAATGAATTTATATTGTACAAGATAATTGCATTTATTGATGAGTTGTTGTTTCTTAGATAATCACTTTAGTTGCTTTGCAATTTACATTGAAGCAAAAAGATTGTATCCCAGATGCGAAATATCCAGCGTGGTATCTACCTACATATTTTTCAGTAATTTACTTATGCATTTTATAATTGAAAGCATTTGACTACGTAGCATATCATGTTTATCTATACTAAGCTTGTGTTATTGATATTTATACTAATTTTTACGAGTTGTAGCAACATATTTTGCACCACAAGGTTCATAAGGCAAACATGCTCAAGTCCTATTTTGGAACAAAACGGTACACAGGAAAAATTGAATCATGTGAAAGGGTATTGATTTGTTATTATCTCACTTTATTTTTGTTTAATATGTTAATGAATATGATAGTGCTGATTATTGATTTAATATAGGTGTACATTCCAATTAATGATGCGGGTGAACATTGGTATATGTGTGTGGTATACATGCGACAACAAGTGGTATATATCCTTGATCCGTACATATCAAGAAGAAGTAGAACTCGGCCAACTCAAGTGAAAAAAGTGGTATACATCCTTATATAATGTTGTTATTTGTATTTTGTATTGTATGTTTTCCTACTAATTAGTTATGTAAATAACAGGTTGAAGTATTACATGACTTATTGGGAATTCAGTACAAGAATGCATATACAAATAAAATCACTGAGTTTCCAATTAGAACACTTGAATGGCTTCCACAACAAAGTAATGGCTATGATTGTGGAATGCACGTCATCAAGTATTTTGAATTGGTGCAATTTATTGATTCCGAAGCTTATTTGTGTAGACACCCCATTTTTGACCGACCTTAAGACTCAGACATCACCGATTGAGCGCTCGGTGACGTTGCATAATGTGCTCGTTCAGAAGTCTCAGAGTCGCGGCCGTGAGCCCTGCCTCCGGACTTCCGAACCCTCTTCTGTGCCTTGCCTCGGTTTGCGAACCAGACTCGATTTTCTCTGTTTCTTTTCTCGAGGGGAGGGAGAGGTCCTGTAGACCATCTCTCAGTGGCCGTGGGCTACATTTTGTGGCCACAGGCCATTTTGTCCATTTCGGGGCCCGGTTTCCGATTTTCGGGACCGTCAGGCCGTGTGCCTCAGTTCGGGACAGCTTAACCATCTCTGTTTGCTCTAAATTTTGGCATACATCTTATTTTCTCCCTTTCAAGGGACACTGAGGTCTGAGAGACCCACTTCGTGGTCGAATACCACTTTCGATGTTTAACAGCCCATTTTCAGGACCCCGAACTGCGCGTTTTGGCCCCCGAACATTCGTTTTGCATCGATTTTCGTTCATTTTTGGCAGGTACCTCTGTTTCATCACTAGGAAGGCCGTAGAAGGGTGGGAGGCCAGCAATTGTTGCAGCAACCAAGTTATACGCCCTCCGGCGCCCTCCGGCGCCCGTTTTTCTCACTTCCGAGCCAATGTTGAACACCCTTGGGCCATTTTCTTGAACTTTTAACCACATATTTGTGATGTACACACATGGGAGGACCCTAAAAGTTTATGGCCGGCCAGAAATTCAACTTGACCCTTTTGAACCCCTCCTTCCGAGCCAATGTTGAACCCCTTGGACCCGCTTTCTCGGATTTTTAACCACATGGTTGTGTTATACACACATAGGGGTACCTCTCCAGTAGCTGGCCGGCCAGAAAATCGCATTGACCCTTTTGACCCCTAGCCACCCCTCCTAAAAGTGGCCTATTCTCTCTCCTGTTTTACAGTTTTCAAATTTTGAACCACAGGGTTGATAGGGGACCTGGGAGGCCAACAATATCATATGGTCGGCCACTAATTCAACTTGACCTTTTTTGACCCTTGCCGGCCGGCCATGGGGGTGGCCGGCCGGCCACCTGAAGCCCAAAAAGTGGCCGGCCTTATTCCTCACTGTGTGCACTTTACAGCTATGCACTTTTTTCCTCCAAAAATATCTGTATCCGGGGAAATATCTTTGGAAAAAAGACTTGGTCCTTTTTCCCACTCTTTCCCTCCCTTTGCTCCCTCCTTTTTGTCCATATAACCAGCTGCCAACATGCATTTTAGGGGTTAGAAAAAAATTGCTTCCAAGTCTTGCATTGCTTCCCCTCTCCTTCTCTCATTTCTACCCTAAAACATTCAAGTTCCACACTTCATTCCTTCATCACCACAAGCACCACATCACCACTTCATTTCAGCAACAAGGAGAGCTTCTCAAAGGCTAAAGGTGCTGCAACTTGGTCCAAGAAGCAACAAATACTTGTCTCCAAGGGTGAGTTGCCATTTCCCCTTTTCTTGAGCTTTCTTTGCAACATTTCTTAACCATCTATGCTTTTTGCTTTGAGCTCCGGCCATAACTGAAAGTGGCCTTATTTTGAGCTCATTTTCATGTCTCATTAAGGGCTCAACCCGCTGTTGAGCCCTCCATCTTGCACTTGCTTCATTATCCCTCTAAAATACCGTTTTCTGCATGTTTTTTTAGCTTGTGTGTGATCTGTTTTGGAGTTTTTACAGTTCTGTAAATAGGCTCATTTTGACCCCCTCTTCAACATTGAACAAGGGATCAACACTGTTTGGGACCTCCATGCTATACTTGCCTTTATACTCCCTTTTTGGTCCCATTTTTGCATGCTTTGGCGCCTACTGTGCTTTTGGTTTTTGGCCATTTTACAGTTCTGAAATAGTCTCATTTTGGTCCATTCTTCATGTTTCATTTAGGGCCTTTCATGGTTTGGGACCTCCATATGCCACTTCATGTTATATCTCTCTTTTGGTCCCCATTCTTTGCATGTTTTGTTAGCCTATTCATGCTTTTGTTTTTGGCCATTTTACAGTTCTGAAAATAGTCTTATTTTGACCCATTCTTCATGTTTCATTAAGGGTCTTTGGCCGTTTGTGGAATATTTTGTATACCTACTGTTATAGCCCTCTTTTGAGCCTTATTTTGCATCGCATTTCTAGCATGTTTGTATACTGTTTTGGAGTTTTTACAGTTCTGTAAATAGTCCATATTTTTGGTCCCCTTTCAATGTTGTAGAAGGGAATTTTTCAGTTTGGGCTTTGCATTTACCACTTTCCCTCTTTGGCCACCTTTTGGCCCTTTTTCTTGCATGGGAGTGCAACCATACTTGTGTTGTTTTGGGGGTTTTTACAGTTCTAGAAAACATCATATTTTGGGCCCCTCTTCAACTTTGTTTGAAGGGCCCTAACTTGTTTGAGGACAGCAGCTGTGAGTTGCTTCTTAATCCCATGTTTAGGGCCATTTCTTTGCATGCTAGTTTTGCATGTTTTTGCTTGCTATTTGCCATGTTTTGAAACTGGAAAAATACTTATCTTGGGATTTCCTTGCGTCTGTATTTTCATTGCATGTCCATATTGTGCATGTTTGGTATAGCTGTAAGCCATTTCACGTACTTAATCTTGCATTTCGGGGGAGATTCCATGCATCGGGTGTGTTTTCACCTCATTTCGGGGCTGTTTTCCCCCACATTTCATTACTGAAAATCTATTAGCATGTTTGCACATCATTTTTTGTCATATTGCATTGCGTATGTCATTTTCTCTGTTTGCGTGCCCGTGTGCACGCATTTCGAGGCACTTCATTTTCATTCACCGGCCTCTTATGTGAGTGTGGCTGAGGCTCTCTCATGTTAGTATAAGTCCATGTGCATTCTATATGCCATTTTAGCCATATTGCATTGCGTATGCCATTACCTCGGTTTGCGTGCCCGTGTGCACGCATTTCGAGGCACTTCATTTCATTCACCGGCCTCTTATGTGGAGGTGGCTGAGGCTCTTCTCATGTTAGTATAAGTCCATGTTGCATTCTATATGCCATTTCATGTCATTTGCATTGCGTATGCCATTGCCTCGATTTGCGTACCCGTGTGCACGCATTTCGAGGCACTTCATTTTCATCCACCGGCCTCTTATGTGAGTTAGGCTGAGGCTCTCTCATGTTAGTATAAGTCCATGTTGCATTCTATATGTCATTTCCATGCCACTGCATTGCGTATGCCATTGTCTCGGTTTGCGTGCCCGTGTGCACGCATTTCGAGGCACTTCATTTTCATCCATCGGCCTCTTATGTGAGTTAGGCTGAGGTTCTCTCATGTTAGTATAAGTCCATGTTGCATTCTATATGCCATTTCATGTCATTTGCATTGCGTATGCCATTGTCTCGGTTTGCGTGCCCGTGGGCACGCATTTCGAGGCACTTCATTTTCATCCACCGACATCTTATGTGAGTGTGGCTGAGGCCTCTTCATGTTAGTTGTAAGCCCATATCATATTTTCATGTCATTTGCATTGCGTATGTCATTTTCTCTATTTGCGTGCCCGTGTGCGCGCATTTCGAACATCTCATTTTTACAGCATATTGCATACTAGGTTGTATCTTAGGTCGCCTTCTGTCATTTCTCAGTTTGCGTGCCCGTGTGCACGCATTTCGAGGCATGTCATTCCATAGCATTGTGTATGTCAGGATTGTATCTTAGTTGCATTTCATGCATGTCATGCATATGCATCGTGTTCGGAATAGGAGTTAGCCCGGGCACGGAAACGAGGTGCGTTTCGTACTCCGAGTGATGGAACGTGACACTCCCGGATCATCCATGATGGAGTTAGGTCTTGTTGTGTTTTTATGTGCATCCATTCTATATTGAGTTGCAATTCGACTCCTCGGCTATCATGCCTCGGTATGCGTGATTGGTGGCACGAGGATCGAGGCATGCATTATATTTGTGAAATACATTGCTATGGCCCCTTTCCTGCTCTCTGTTGCAGCAAAAATCAAGTATCAGCAACTTTCCGGAGTTTGGCGCGCATTTTAAGAAAAAGTGCAAACAGAGGCTAATCGGGGCATCGCCATGGATTTCCGCGCAAAACAACCCGGACATGCATCATTCATCACTCGGAGAAGAGTCAAGGCAGTCCCTGGCTTGCATGCCAGTTCATTTAGTTTTCTTAGTTAATTTGTTATTAATTAGGAATTTGTATATTATTTGGACTGTAATATTCTTTATTTGGGACTGTATTATTTATTCGGACCCTCCGCGCGAGGGCACAAATGTAATAAGTGTGCGTGTGTGTGTTGTATGTCTTCCAACCCCACGTCTTCTCCCCTTTTATTTACCTGCTTATGATGGTTAGATTAGGGCATGTTTAAATTAGCATACAGTATGACAGCATGTTTGCATCATTCATCTGTTTTGCATGCACCGGGCACGGCGCATCATACTAACTGCATTGTATTTTCAATTTCAAAGTTGAATACGTGTTAGCTGTAGCATTCCATATGCCATGTTTAGAATAGCCGAGCCTGCTATATTTGCATTTTTGCATGTGCTGCATTAGCATTTCTGTATACTTAGGATCATGCATGATTTCTAATGAAGTTTCTATTTTTGGCTTGGAGTACTCGGTAAGTTTTATGCTTTAGCATCCTTGCATGCGTGTGAGTGACTGCCATGAATAGCATGCTTACCATGAGGCTAAATGCTTACATGATATAACTGCCTGAATGCCTGTGGGTGAAGGTTGGGTTACTTAAATTGGAATAAATCATCAAATGTTTTAAGCCTACCTGCGAGTAGCAAACCACCTTTCAAAAATAAACATGAAATGTTTTGTCCCAATATTGGGCGACCCAGTCTATACTTATATGCTGTGTGCATCACATAGTAACCTAGGCTAATAACCGGAATAAGAAAATACAATGTTTCAAAAATAGATATCATGGCTAGTAGGAGGCCAGTCTCTGACCGGACGAGCGGGGGTGCTCACGAAGTGACCT